TTGTAGTGGAAAACGTCTCATGTCTGGATAGGTGAAGGATAGGTGAGGATGTTATAGTCCTGGAGGTGGGAAGTACAGCACCTGCACTCTGAAGGATGGGTGAGGATGTTATAGTCCTGGAGGTGGGAAGTACAGTGCCTGCACTCTGAAGGATGGGTTAGGATGTTATAGTCCTGAAGGTGGGAAGTACAGTGCTTGGACTCTGAAGGATGGGTTAAGATGTTATGGTCCTGGAGGTGGGAAGTACAGTGCCTGCACTCTGAAGGATGGGTGAGGATGTTAGTCCTGGAGGTGGGAAGTACAGTGCCTGCACTCTGAAGGATGGGTGGGGATGTATGTATAAGACCCTGGAGGAGGGTGAAGTGCGGGGGTCCTGCACTCTGAAGATGGGTGAGGAGGGTTATAGTCCTGAGGTGGGAAGTACAGTGCCTGCACTCTGAAGGAGGGGTTTGAGATGTTATGGTCCTGGAGGTGGAAAGTACAGTGCCTGCACTCTGAAGATGGGTAGGATGTAAAGTCCTGGGGGGGGAAAAGTACAAGTCCCTGCACTCTAAAGGGAAATGGGTGAGGATGTTATAGTCCTGGAGGTGGGAAGTACAGCACCTGCACTCTGAAGGATGGTAGATGTTATAATCCTGGGGGTGGGAAGTACAGCACCTGCACCTCTGAAGGAGGGGTGAGGATTTTTTATAGTCCTAAGGTGGGAAGTACAGTGCCTGCACCTGAAGGATGGGTGAGGATGTTATAGTCCTGGAGGTGGGAAGTACAGTGCCTGCACTCTGAAGGATGGGTGAGGATGTTATAGTCCTGGAGGTGGGAAGTACAGTGCCTGCACTCTAAAGGGATGGTTGAGGATGTTTAGTCTGAGGTGGGAAAAAAAAACAGTGCCTGCACTCTGAAGGATGGGTGAGGATGTTATAGTCTTGGGGGTTGGGAAGTACAGTGCCCTGCACTCTGAAGATGGGTTGGGTTTCTTAAAAGGTCTCTGGAGAGGGGAAGTACAGTGCCTGCACTCTAAAGGGAGGGGGTGAGGTTTGATTTAGTCCGGGAGGTGGGAAGTACAGTGCCTGCACTTTTGAAGGATGGGTGAGGATTTTATAGTCCTGGAGGTGGGAAGTACAGCACCTGCACTCTGAAGGATGGGTGAGGATGTTAGTCCTTGAAGTGGGAAGTACAGTGCCTGCACTCTGAAGGATGGGTTAGGATCTTATAGTCCTGGAGGTGGGAAGTACAGTGCCTGCACTCTGAAGGATGGTGGGAGTTATAGTCCGGATTTTGGGAAGTACAGTGCCTTCACTCTAAAGGGATAGATGAGGATGTTAAAAGTCCTGGAGGTGGGAAGTACAGTGCCGCCCCTCGAAAGGTGAGGATGGTTATAGCCCCTGGAGGTGGAAAGTACAGTGCCTGCACTCTGAAGTGGGTTAGGGTTTTATGTCCGGGAGGTGGAATTACAGCACCCTCACTCTGAAGGATGGGGTAAAGATGTTATAGTCCTGAAGTGGGAAGAAACAGTGTTTGGGACTCTGAAGAGGGGTTAGGATGTTATAGTCCTGGAGGTGGGAAGTACTGTGCCGCACTCTGAAGAAAGGGGTAAAGGATTTTATAATCCTGTTGGTGAAGTACAGCACCTGCACTCTAAAGGGGAGGGGTTTGAGGATGTTATAGTCCTGGAGGGGAAGTACAGTGCCGCACTCTGAAGGATGGGTTTGGAGGATGTTATAGTCCTGAGGTGGGAATAACAGCACCACTCTGAAGGATGGGTGAGGATGTTAAGTCCTGAAGGTGGGAAGTACAGTCCCTGCACCCCTGAAGGATGGGTGAGGATGTTATGTCCTGGAGGTGGGAAGTACAGCACCTGCACTCTGAAGGATGGGTGAGGATGTTATAGTCCTGAAGGTGGGAAGTACAGTGCCTGCACTCTGAAGGATGGGTGAGGATGTTATAGTCCTGGAGGTGGGAAGTACAGCACCTGCACTCTGAAGGATGGGTGAGGATGTTATAGTCCTGGAGGTAGGAAGTACAGTGCCTGCACTCTGAAGCAAGGGTAAGGATGTTATAATCCTGAAGGTGGGAAGTACAGCACCTGCACTCTGAAGGATGGGTGAGGATGTTATATTCCTGTAGGTGGGAAGTACAGCACCTACACTCTGAAGGATGGGTGAGCATGTTATAGTCCTGGAGGTGGGAAGTACAGCACCTGCACTCTGAAGGATGGGTGAGGATGTTATAGTCCTGGAGGTGGGAAGTACAGTGCCTGCACTCTGAAGGATGGGGGAGGATGTTATAGTCCTGGAGGTGGGAAGTACAGCACCTGCACTCTGAAGGATGGGTGAGGATGTTACAGTCCTGGAGGTGGGAAGTACAGTGTCTGTCCTCTGAAGGAGTGATGTTGATATATTGCTAGAACTCCATTTTTTTTTATCGAATGAGTACAAGAAACCACCCATTTACCGATTTCAACTATCCAATAAAGTGGTCAGAATTTAGCAATTTTGCCAATTTCACACAAATTTCAAAAGATGCCAATTTCCGAATACCTGGAGTTTACCTGGAGAGAGTTCCGGGGGTCAACGCCCCCGCGACCCGGTCTGTGACCAGGCCTCCTGGTGGATCAGAGCCTGATCAACCAGGCTGTTGCTGCTGGCTGCACGCAAACCAACGTACGAGCCACAGCCCGGCTGATCAGGAACTGACTTTAGGTGCTTGTCCAGTGCCCAGCTTGAAGACTGCCGGGATCTGTTGGTAATCCCCCTTATGTGTCTGGGAGGCATTTTGAACAGTCTCGGCCCCTGACACTTATTGTATGGTCTCTTAAAACGTCTAGTGACACCCCTGCTTTTCATTGGGGGGATGTTGCATCGTCTGCCAATCTTTTGCTTTCGTAGTGAGTTTATTTTCGTGTGCAAGTTCGGTACTAGTCCCCTGGATTTTCCAGGTGTATATAATTATGTATCTCTCCCTCCTGCGTTCCCGGGGAAAACAGGTTTTAGAAACCTCAAGTGCTCCCAGTAATTGAGGTGTTTTATTTTCCGTTATGCGCGCCGTGAAAGTTCTCTGCACATTTTCTAGTTCGGCAATTTCACCTGCCTGAAAGGTGCTGTTAGTGTGCAAGCAATTCCAGCCTAGATAGAACAAGTGACCTGAAGAGTGTCATCATGGGCTTGGCCTCCCTATTTGAAGGTTCTCATTATCCATCCTGTCATTTTTCTAGCAGATGCGATTGAACAATGTTAGGGCCCTTTGAAGGTGAGACCCTCCGAGGTCTTTGACGTGGTTTTCGCTCTATTTGGGGGCCAGATTTTTTTGTACTCGATGAATAGGGTCCGAATAAACAAAAAAGACTTTCCTGGCACAAAAATAACAAGTTCTTGTTCGTTATCACATTCCAGGCCCCTTTTAATTTTTTTGGCTTTCCACTTTAAATTTTTTATTTTAAAAAAAAAAAATAAATAAGATTTACTTTTAAACAGACTACTCATTATGTAAAAGGGTATAAATAATATCAGCAACTTTAAAGGAAATAGACTCCCCATTGTGTTATTGGACGTTTGCATGATTTTTTTACTTTTGAATTTGGTAAAAATCAAACATTTCGCTACTTGAGCCATTTAAGGGTCCCTTTTCATTGAAAAAAAACCATCAAGATCATCTAAATTTCTGTAAAATGTTTCCTTTCTATAAAATGAGCCCAAAAAAAAACTAGAAAATAACAAAAATACCAGAAAAATACTGAAAAGTCCTTTTTTTAACCCAAAAATAGGCATTTTTTTTTTTTTCATTACCACGTGTGCTCGGGTTTTTTTTTTATACGCGCACACTGACCACAAACCCATTCTTACTTTTAGGCCTACCACTTTCTCTCACTAGATTTGAGGCGTAGTTTTTAGGCTACTTGTACGTAAAAAACCGGGGGGTGTAAATACTAAAGGGGGCCCCGCAAAAGGGGATGTTAAAAAAAAATCTACGTACATTTAAAACGAAAAAAATTTTGCCTGCACGCTAAAAACCCCGACCAACGCTATTCGCCCGTTCGAGACGCGCCCATTTTGGGCCTACGCCCTCACTTTTCCATGGGGGCCATTTTTTACAAGCCAGCCACCACTGCGGGCGCTTCCAAAAATCAATTGGGAAATTTCATATTATCACACCTTTGAGTGTTGACCGCAAAATAATCCAATTGGCCCCCAAAAAAGAGGCCAACCCAAAAAGCAGAAAGGGTGAGAATTTCTAAGGAATAAGAAAAAGATCTTGCTAAGTTGGGGTGGGGGCGGTCTCCAACTGGTCAGTTGTTAGTAAACCCCAATCAACCCTACTACTTTTTGGGGAAAAAAGGCAATCAAGAACTTTTTTCCCAAAAGGGGCAACTGTTTTTGAAACAGATCACAAGTGATAGAAATGTTGAGGATTATTTGGGGTGGTAAACAAAAAAATAGCGGGATACATCTCTCAACGATCTATTTAAAAGGCGGAATTCATGACGATTTTAAATTTAAAAAAATGCCAGCAACTAGTGGTGATGTGAGTGAATTTAAGGCCAGCAAAGGTTGGTTTGAGAGATTTAAGGAGCGTTCAGTGGCATTCATAATGTGATTAGGCATGGTGAGGCTGCCAGTTTTCGGACCACAAAGCAGCTGCAAAATATGTGCATGAATTCAGGAGTAGTAGAGTACATCGACAGTGAAGGACTCAAACCTATGAACCAAGTGCCGCCTTTACTTGTGACGAAACAGGACCTGTTTTGGGAAAAAGAAATGCAAGCAGGGACCTACATTACGTAGGAGGAAAGGCACTCCCAGGGGACATAAGCTATGAAAGACATGCTTACTTGTTGATGTGTGCCAATGCTAGTGGTGATTGGCAAAGTGAAGCCTTTATTGGTGTATCACTCTAAAGCTCCAGAGTGTGCAGGAAAAAACAATGTCCTCAAGGCTATTTGTGTGTGTGTGGAGGGAAACAGAAGGATGGGTCACTATGGACTTTTTCTATGAGCTGGTTACACCATGCATTTGCCCCCTACTGGTGAAAAATTACCTACTGAAAAGAAAATTAGACCTGACAGTGCTCCTGGTATTAGACATGCTCTGGTAATCCTTCCGACTGGCAGATGCGGACTTTCTGCGGAAATGGCTTCATTAGGTGAAGTTTTCCTCCTAATACCACTCCTCTACTTGCAGCAGGACCAGCAGGTCATTTCCATCTTAAGAAACTGTACACAAAAGCTATGTTTCAAAGGTGCTTTGTAGTGACCTCAGAAACTCGACTGATTCTAAGAGAGTTTTGGAAAGATCACTTTACCATCCTCAGTTGTTGTAAACATTATAGGTAAGGCTTGGGAGGAAGTGACTAAGAGGACCTTGAACTCTGCTTGGAAAAAACTGTGGCCAGAATGTGTAGACAAAAGGGATTTTGAAGGGTTTGAGGCTAACCTTGAGAATCCTATGCCAGTTGAGGAATCCATTGTGGCACTGGGGAAGTCCTTGGGGTTGGAGGTTAGTGGGGAGGATGTGGAAGAGTTGGTGGAGGAGGACAATGAAGAACTAACTACTGATGAGCTGCTAGATCATCTTCATCAGCATGAGGCCACACCTGAGGAAACTGTTTTGGAGGAGGGGATAGAGAAATTGAAGAAGTTGCCTACTTCTAAGATTAAGGAAATCTGTGCAATGTGGCTTAAAGTGCAAACCTTTATGGATGAAAATCACACAGCTACTGCAAGCCGTGTTGGCAACCTGTACACTGACAATGTGTGAAACACTTTAGAAATGTCATAAAGGAACGGGAGGTACAGGCCTCTATGGACAGATATGTTGTGCGACAAAAGTCCAGTGACTCTCAAGCTGGTCCTAGTGGCATTAAAAGAACAAGGGAAGTAACCCCGGAAAAAGAGTTGCTACCTCAAGTCCTAATGGAAGGGGATTCCCCTTCTAAACACTAAGAAGATCCACACACTCCCCCTCCTCCCATCCCATCAATCATCACCAGATCTTCAATAAAGGTAAGTGTCATGTAACTGTGCATGTCTTCTTCAGTTTGTGTGTATTAAAATTAATATTTCATGTGGTAAAATATTTTTTTTTCAATACTTTCGGGTGTCAGGAACGGATTAATTTGATTTCCATTATTTCTTATGGGGAAAATTAACTCGATTAACGATTATTTCGATTAACAATGAGCTCTCAGGAACGGATTAATATCGCTGGTCGAGGGTCCACTGTATGTCCGAAACCCCCAAAGGGTTAATAATGGGTCGTTGATGTGGGATTTATCACAAAATTGTTTTGTCTATCTCCACGGCTATTATTTCGTAAGCTCACGACTGACTAGCACTTAGGACAGGAACTAAATATGATGTTTAGGTCCATCCTGGACAGGGTTGTCATGGGTATGCCACCCCTGGGTAGCTACACACACACCCACCCAGGCTAGGGCTGTATAGTTCTGGGGACCCAGACCTAACTCATCATCTTCACTCATAAACCCCATTATTTATCATAGTTTGGATATAAAAACAGTATAGTAAACCATTAAATTACGCGGATTTATTTGCCACATTTTGGGTGTTGCACTATTGAAAAATTGCGGCATAATTTTATACAACACTTCATCAAATTAACTAAACGTGATTCAGTTTGCGTGAGGGAAAAAAGTGTGGAACGTCGCCTATGGGATATTTCCCCAGCTCAGGCCACTGCCTGGCTGTGGGTGAGACCACTAACTCCACAGGGGAGACCTACCACCATCCCCTGCCACCCCCACCACCCCTGTCCCAGCCTTCCGTGCGAACACATCTACTACAATTCTCTCCTAGGAGCTAGCTGTGTTTGTGAACTGTGTTTGATTTTTTTTATTGCCATATGTTGTATCAGCCAAGCAATCGTGGCACCCAGTAGGCATACGAGTGTTTGCTGAAAGTGTCTAGAAAAGGTTTAAGCATTTAAGTCTTTGAATTACAAATAAAATCAAGATATTAGACAAGTTTAAGAGTGGCTCACGTGTGGTGGCTATAGCAAGAGCCTATGACCTTAATGAGGCATCAGTTAATACAATTGAAAAGAATGAGGTAAATATACAGGTTTGTGCAATGAATAACCCAGGATGTCATCTCACTGACTGACTGACTTACCTGCTTACCTACCTACTGACCAGCTTATCTGCCTACCTTCCTACCTACCTGCTTACCTACCTACCTACCTGCTTACCTGCTTTCCTACCTACCTACCTACCTGCTTACCTACCTACCTGCTTACCTACCTACCTACCTGCTTACCTACCTACTGACCAGCTTATCTGCCTACCTACCTACCTACCTGCTTACCTACCTACCTACCTGCTTACCTACCTACCTACCTACCTGCTTACCTACCTACCTGCTTACCTACCTACCTGCTTACCTACCTACCTGCTTACCTACCTACCTACCTGCTTACCTACCTACCTGCTTACCTACCTACCTACCTGCTTACCTACCTACCTGCTTACCTACCTACCTGCTTACCTACCTACCTGCTTTCCTACCTACCTGCCTGCTTTCCTACCTACCTACCTGCTTACCTGCTTTCCTACCTACCTACCTACCTGCTTACCTACCTGCTTACCTACCTACCTACCTACCTACCTACCTACCTGCTTACCTACCTACCTGCTTACCTACCTACCTGCTTACCTACCTACCTGCTTACCTACCTTCCTACCTGCTTACCTACCTTCCTACCTGCTTTCCTACCTACCTACTTACCTACCTGCTTACCTACCTGCTTACCTACCTACCTACCTACCTACCTACCTACCTACCTACCTACCTACCTACCTACCTCCTTACCTACCTACCTACCTACCTACCTACCTACATACCTACCTACCTACCTACCTACCTACCTCCTTACCTACCTACCTCCTTACCTACCTACCTACCTGCTTATCTGCCTACCTACCTACCTGCTTATCTAACTACCTACCTGCTTACCTATGTACCTACCTGCTTATCTGCCTACCTACCTACCTACCTGCTTATCTGCCTACCTACCTACCTGCTTATCTAACTACCTACCTGCTTACCTATGTACCTACCTGCTTATCTGCCTGCCTACCTACCTACCTGCTTATCTGCCTACCTACCTACCTGCCTACCTTCTTATCTGCCTACCTACATGCTTACCTAACTATCTTCCTACCTACTTACCTACTTACCTACCTACCTACCTACCTACTTACCTACCTACCTACCTACATACCTACCTACCTACCTACCTACCTACCTACCTACCTACCTACCTACCTACCTACCTACCTACCTACCTACCTACATACTTACGTGCCATATTTTGTAGTTTATTAGACGCTTTTTTTTTCCATAAAATGTCACATCCTATAAACTGAAGGTGAGTGATGAGAGCTATAAGTTTGGGATGTGGGTAGGGTGTAGCTCTCCCAGTTACGTCTGATGCTGAGCTATTAAAACTAAAACAAGTCCAGTGTTTCAAAATTACCTCTGCCATCCACCTCAGTCCAGTAGGGCCACAACATAACTCTCTACTCTCTTCACAATCATCGACAAACATTAGTACGCACAATTTAATGTAAGAAATACTATTATTTCTGTTTCACTTGTAGTCTTAAGCAGTAAAAACAATATACTATATCACAACAGTGAACAACAGTTATATATTCACTTTTATTTTTGTAAGATCTGGAGGTCTAAAAAAAAAAGTTTGGCTTTTTTGGGGCTCCCAGGAATGTAACCCTGTTTTTCCCCATAAGTTCTTCAGTTTATCTAACACGGCATTTTCAGGAACATAACTACCGTGTAATATAATGGTCTACTGTATAATAATTTAGCTTTCGATCTTTTATTCATGCTTCTTGTAGGCTGGTCAAACAAGTTTCAGTATTTTTAGTTAGAGAAAAAGTACTGTACTTCTCCTGTGTATAGAAATAGTGAGCAATGCAACATAGATATCAGTGAATTGTAAATGGAATGTAAATTGCTGGTGTGAATGTTGATTTTTTATACATGTGAAACAAGAGTGTAAATTGAAAATAAATTTCTTGTAAATGAGGACAAAATTCATTAGAGTAAATTTGTGTAGTGTAGATTATGGCAGAGGATTTGTTATGTTATAATTAAAACAGAGTTAGTAAGAGATATATTACAAGTTTATCAACCATAAGTATAAGTCAGCATTGTTACTGTGTGTGTTGTGACACTGTTATGACACTTTTGTGATGCTGTGTTATGACACTGTTGTGACACTGTTTAGACACAGCGTCATTGTTGTTTAAGGTGTACAGTACTACATATCACGGTCATTCTACAGGGTCATTGCTGTTCGAGGTTTACAACCGGCAGTTCCTGATCTTCGTGAGCCTGGTGTGGGTGGCAGTGTCAGTGACGATGCTGCCGTTCACAGTACCGACTGCCCTCTGGTGGACTTTCCTCACTACCGCTGCCCTTGGCCTCGGTCTGGGCTTCCTCTTCACAGGTCAGTGACATTCATAATAATAATAATAATAATAATAATAATAATAATAATAATAATAATAAACATTTTTAATATAAATATAACAATAATAATAAACACAACAATTCATTATATAATGTTATGGATAAATTTAGACTGGGACTAAGACTTCAAGACTATGTAGTCTTGTAGTCATGACTTCAGGACTACATAGTCTTAAATAACAAAAAGGCACAATACTGTGACTGGAACAATACACAGATAACCCACACATAGGAGAGAGGAATTTATGACGACATTTTGGTCTGACTTGGACCATTTACTAAGTCACACTAACTTAGTCATGGCTTTGTCTCTGTAGATGCCTTCCTTTCTCATTACATTGTAAAATGCTCCAAACTTCAGAACACCCGTGACTTAACCTGATTCTTTTTTTTCTTCTTGTCCCTCTTCCCCTTTTCTTTTTCCTCTTTCTTCTTTGGGTTTTCTTTCTTCTGCCTTGGGTGTTTGGTTCTTTTATTACCCCCTCCCCTGTGTTTTTGTTCCTACCCTAAGTGTGCCCCTAGCTCTCCTGCAGTGCTCCTTTTTCTGACTGACTCCATTATTACTACTACTACTACTGCCTCTCTACTTCCTTTCCTACTACCTCTCTTGTCCTGTCTCTGTCTGCTGACCTATATATACTGCATCCTCTCTTTTCTGTTTGTGTGGCTTTGTAAATGGTCCAAGTCAGACCTAAATGTCACTGTAAGCTCCTCTCCTACGTGCTGGTTATTTGTGTAAGTAGTCTTATAATAGTTAAGACTTCAAGGCTATTTAGTCTTGTCTTATTCATCGATAAAGACACCCAGTAAAGACACCCAGGTGTTGTACATATGTCTTATTTATCAATAAAGACACCCAGGTGTTGTACGTGTCTTATTTATCAACTTGTCAATACTGCATACCTTTACTATGACCTGACTTTACCTAATACCTTTTGTTATTGTTCCAGGTGGTAATGTTCTGTGTCTGGACCTCTGGGGTCGGCAGGGTGGAGCGTCACTTCAAGCTCTGCACTTCAGTTTTGCCGTTGGAGCTTTTGTGGTTCCTCTGGTCATCCAGCCTCTCTTTGTTGGATTGCAACCCATGGTGCTGCGTGACAACCAGTCGGATGCCCAGGATCTCGCCACCGACACGACAGATGTGCTGGGGCTCACCCGGGGGCCTTCCAGGGGTGGAACCCACAGACAACACCCACCTCAACTCTTCATTTTTTGATCTCGAATCACTCTCCAGGGACGACATAATACGCCTGACGTTACCTCAGACAAATGCAACCAATGGGAGCTTTGTCGATACCACTGCAAATGCAACGTGGTTGGGCACGTCCGTTAGTTACGATGGCGAGACTCCGTCACCCCCAGGGACGATACCCGCCATCTCGGCAACTGTCGCTGCCCCAAACATTTCCTCGACTGTGAAGACGCCAAAAATGAAGCCCAGTTACACAGACGCTAACCGCCTTGAACCTGACTCTGTCAAGGTGTGGAAGAAGCCGGCCGGAGCTGCAGCTGGAGCCACAGCCATCGACACTAAACCCAAACTGAACAGTCCAATTGTGGAGGAGAAGAAAGACTCAGGCGGAGTGGCAAGCACTCCTGTACCTGATGTTAGTTCTCTTACAACACTAGCAGGGCAAGCAGCAGAGGTGTCGATGCCAGTACTCAACACTCAGCAAGTGACCGGTGGAATGCCAGACAACCACACACACACTTCCTCAGTGACCTCAGCAAGCAGTGCTTCACACCAGGTGGATCACAGTGCCTCAGACACTACGGCTGTGGATGGTAGTAGTGCCGCTGTCACTGCAACTGTGGATGGTAGCAGTGCTACAGTGAAAGTTCATTCATTGACCACTCCTGTCACTTCCATACAGCAGACTGCATCAAGTATCTCCTTAATTACAACTGACATCAGGCCCCTAGCTACCACTGCTACCACCATTCACCCGTCTACCACCACTTACACCACTACCACCACCACCACTGCCCCTTCTACAACCACCACTACCACTACTGTTGCCCCTTCTACTACCACCAGTACCACCACCAAGCTGCTGTTGACCATCACCAGTCTCCCATCTACAGCGACCACCTCCAAGTTCCAAACCCTATCACAACCACCTCCCATCTACCACCACCATTCTACCAGATACCACCACATTTAACCCCCACATCTAAGTATCTGAAGCTCAAAAACTATGAAATAGAATTCCCTGAGATAGAAAAGCCCCTCTGACACAGACTCTCTCATATATGGCAATAAAGGATTTGGCACCTTGGCAGAACAACCAAAAGAAATTTTATCGAGGACGAGGATGCCATCTTTTCCAGAACCTGAGTTGTTAGACCTCAAAGAGCCCATCAAATATGAACCAGAAGATTTAAATCTGAGAGTGATGCATTTGATAATGCTGACACTTCAGATATTTCATCACTATCCATCATCAGTCGAAGCCAGGGACTTTCAGTAATGGAAGCGACGAAAATAATCAGTTTTTTGATGACATGGCGCTCAAGTTGAAAAATTTGAAGGTCACTAAGGTCCATTTAGCTTATTATGTATTGGTATTTTCATCATCTTAATGCCCTAATTTCTGTGGTAATACTGTGTCACAACCCCAGAGAAACTCGATCAAAACAAGATGACGGTAACTTGAACAAAATGCAAAAAGGCCGAATCGTTTTGTTCACCATTGTGTTTTCCGTGTTCATGTTCATGGCCGAGGCATTGCAAGGGGCCGTTCATCACTTGCTGGCATCCTCAGCCACTGGTGCGGGTCTTGATGTCGTCCAAGAATCGAAAATTGATGGCCAGGTGCTTTTCTGGGGGCTGGTTTGCCTCGTTCGATTTCTTTGCATATTAGTATCAGGTTGCTTGCACCTGAAGCCCGGCAAACTCCTCGTCATCTCTGTTCTTTTGTCGTTTATCGGGTCAGTATTCTTATCGATTGGCTCCTTCGGAAAGGAAGATTTCCTGTGGGGCGGCATTGTATTTTTGGCAATTGGTTTGGCGCCTGTTTTGCCAACGAGTTTACTGTGGATGGCCCAGTACATGCGAGTGACGCACCGCATGTGTGCTCTCATGATTGTCTTAGCTTCATTTGGTAACTCTCTGACGCATTCCCTGCTGACGAGGGTGGCAGGGAATTCTCACGCTTACTCTTACATCCTCGTCACCATCAGCTTCGTCTCTCTTTTCTTCCTCTTCTTGTCAATGTGCGTTTTGTACACAGCCCAGCGCAGCAAAACCCTAGGTGTCCCTGTAGGTTATCAGCTGGCCAGTCAACACGAGGAAGAGGACAGCATCGAACTGACACCCTCTGGAAGTGCAGTATTCACCCCCAACGACTCCAGAGCTCGGGAAAATGGGGAGGCCGGCCAGTCGCTTCTAATAGACTAACATTATTGATAGTAATAGCTGCACTCTATGTTGTGTAATAATAATAATTAAAATGATAACCGAGAGAAGAGCGTATATTACTGAATCTAGTCGTTATTTTCATATATAATTTTTTTAAATTTATAGTAGTTAGCGTTTCAAAATTCTTACCCAGACTTCGTACCGCAAAAACGAAATGTTTCACAGGGAAACCCGACAGATAATATTGTACAGTATATTTAAGACTTTAGCTATAAGAAATATTACCTGATAAGTTACCGAGGAAGATGTATTAATTCCGGACTTATAATTATGGTTTTCAGCTTACCAGTGAAGTTATAATGCTGCTGTGTTAGCTGAGGGTGAGTTATTATTTTGGCATTTTGAGCTGAGGGATGAGTTACGTATATGTGGTTTTTACTCACAAGTGAACAATAATTCCCATAATACAATTATTCCCATAATACAATTCACAACCCACAGTTCTGTGGCTAGAACAATCCACAGCTAACTCACAATACTGTGGTTGTAACAGTTCACAATTAACCCCTCAGTACAATGGTTGTAACAATTCACAACTAACCCACAGTACCATGGTGGTAACAATTCACAACTAACCCACAGTACCATAGGTGTAACAATTCACAACTAACCCACAATACTATGACTGCAGCAGTTCACAACTAACTTGCACTTAAGATAGGAATCTTATGAGGACCCTAGTCCATCCTGGACCAGAAGAGACGGCAGGAGGATTTGATTAATTGTCAAGCCACAAGTGAGTGAGAAGGAAATAGAGACTATCCGAAGACAAGTCAAGAAGAGTCGATACCTATCCTGCGGCCCGCGGAATACGCCCTGGACCAGTGCTTCTCGGAGTGGTGATCCATGAGTTACTGTTAGTCCATAGTAAGTTGCCAGGAGTGTAAGCAAGCAATGTTCTTACAAGCAGAATGTTAATGTGCCATAGTGCCTCAGTGTGTGCATTCCGAGTGGATTCACTATAATCGTAATCATCGTTGCAATATAAACAAGTGAGCTAGTTAACATGCAACCACAGTATGATCCTGGTGGGTAGAGTGCTTAGTTGTGATTGTAATAATAACGAGAGCAAAGGTCCCAGGCAACACATGGGACTAACACCTCATAGATACACAGTCTCAAGGATGCTGGCTTCACTTTACATTAATTCACCACTCCAGTAAAATAGAGTATTCAGAGATTGTATTGACATGTTTGACAATTTCGCATCAACCATCATTGATGCTCGTGATGAGTTTGATAGCACAACGCAATGACTAATCACTGGTAAACATCTGGTGAATTTAGTGGAGCATTTCCAGTTCATCGTCCCTGTAGGAGACCGACGCAAAGTAAACAAACAGATGGGGAAGTTCATTCATCTCACCAGAGAAGGATTTGACCATCAGTGCAGTGGACATGTAGGATTTATCCACTAAGGAAGGCTTGAAGGTGAGTATCCAGCCCTTGATTTGACAGGTCTTGTGTTGGATCACAGTGAGAGTGGACTAGCCTCAACCTGCTAAAATCATTCTGAAAACTGTTCTTTCATTTCTTCAGCCATGTCTGTGAGGCTGTTACCCTGACCATATCTGTGAGACTGTTACTCTGATCATGTCTGTGAGGCACTTACCCTGACATGTCTGTGAGGCTGTTACTTCAACTATGTCTGTGAGACTTACTCTGATCACGTCTGTGAGGCACTTACCCTGACATGTCTGTGAGGCTGTTACTTCAACTATGTCTGTGAGACTGTTACTCTGATCACGTCTGTGAGGCACTTACCCTGACATGTCTGTGAGGCTGTTACTTCAACTATGTCTGTGAGGCTATTACTTCAACTATGTCTGTGAGGCTGTTACTTCAACTATGTCTGTGAGGCTGTTACCTCATCCATGGTGCCATTTAAAACACTACAGGAAATGTGGATATTCGCTGCCATAACACATGTCCATCATCAATCAAGCTGCAGCTTCAGCTGATAAACACTAAGCTGGCTCAATGTTTCCCATCAGTTAAGCTTTGCTGCTGAGAACCTTATTGAAAAAATAACTTTTTTTCTTGAACTGAATGCAAATCTTGCTTTTTTTATTTTCAATAAAAATGTATAATTTTCCCCGTTCATCTTTTTTATTATCCGCAATAAAGCACACAGGTGGTCCACTTAACCCACAGTCACTGTATGCTTACACGTAAGAGAATGAAACTTGTGACGATGTTTCAGTCCGACTTGGATCATTTACAAAGTCTCACAAACTTTGTGAACGGTCAAAGTTGGACCAAAACGTAGTCAGCTCCTCTCTCCTATGTATGGGTTATATGTGTATTTTGCTTAATCACACAACCTTCATGATCCTAACACACACAACAGTAACTTCAATTATCAAGGCTAATTTATTACTCTCCAGTCCTCTCCATGTTCACTGTATTGGCTCTCCTTAACTTCCCTTCCTTATCTTTTCTCTCACTCCTTGAGAAGTTATGTGAATTCATGTTTACTCTTCACTTGTGTGTACAAAAGGTCACTTGGTATTAACCTGGGTAATTGATACCAATAAATAGGTTTGAAAAGACATGTGAAGAAACACTAGGACATTTTCCAGGTCAATGTGTTACTCATGCCTCACTCTGCTTATATATGCTGCAATTATAACCTGTGTTTGTTAGAAGTGATCAAGGTCACAAGATTGAAATGTTTTCTGATAAATATGCCCTGGTGTTTGCTGACGCGTTTTTAAACAAAAAACTCATTCATCTTATGCAGTTTCACGCTTGCTCGTGAATGATTCCAGTGTTACTCCCTAGCTGCTGTTGTGTACACTTGTTTCTGAAACTTCCAGTGATGGTGTTGGATGTACAGTTGTTTTATCCTAAAAGAATAATCCCAAGTCATTTACTAGAGTGGTCCAGGGTTTTCACAGTTGTATGCAGTTCTTCATGCTGTCAAAAACATTGTAACCCTGTCTGTCTACCTTGTCTGTCATAGCCGTTTCAGGTTCCCCAAAGTGAGGTACAGTACATCAAGAAATTCAACTCCTCTGTTGAGGATAGGAAGTAAGCAAATTCAGCTTTGTGATCATTTCTTCAAGACCTGATTTTCCACCGATTTATCAACAGTACAGTCACTGACAGGATCTATCAAGAGTACAGTCACTGACAGGATCTATCAAGAGTACAGTCACTGACAGGATCTATCAACAGTACAGTCACTGACAACAAGGTTGGTCGGAGATGGTCCGCAAGAAATTGTTTGATATAAAATTAAGTTCAGATTATTATCATCATAAGGAAATATTAAGCCTGTAGGGGTCGTGCAGTGCCTGGGTTGGGAGGGAGGGGGGAGAGCATTCAGACACAATTCAAGTAATTGGAGCCCAGGTCCAGTTCCTCTGATCAAGAGCCCCTCGTCAATGTCAAGGAACCTCCCTTGAAGGGAATTACGTTCAGAATTGAGGCCATCGTCGACCCACCACTGTAGTATCGGAGGCTACACTCTTCTTCACAGCAGCACTGTATGACCCTTATGGGTTTAGTGCTTAGTTAAGAGTATTATTATACTGATGTCTCCATCATTAATATCAGACACGACTAACACACTGTCAGTTTACCACATATTAATAGATTGTCAGTAGGTGTGTGGGGTTCACTTTTGAGGTGTCTCCCGCTGCATCTCTAATTGGCCGACTCACCGAAAGTCCTGACTTTAGTACGGACGCTTGTACTCTTATTTCCTGACCCCATACCCCTCACACACCACTGCCCCCCTCACACCACTGCCCCCCTCACACACCACTGCCCCCCTCACACACCACTGCCCCCTCACACACCACTGCCCCCCTCACACACCACTGCCCCCCTCACACACCACTGCCCCCCTCACACACCACTGCCCCCCTCACACACCACTGCCCCCCTCACACACCACTGCCCCCTCACACCACTGCCCCCTCACACACCACTGCCCCCCTCACACACCACTGACCCCCTAACACACCACTGCCCCCTCACACACTACTACCCCCCACACACCACTGCCCCCCCACACCCCTGTCCCTCACACACCGCTGCCCCCTCACACACCTGCTGCCCCACTGTCACTACACCACTGCCCCCTCACACACTGCTGCCCCCACACACCACTGCCCCCCACACCTCTATCCCTCACACACCACTGCCCCCTCACACACCGCTACCCCCCTCACACACCGCTGCCCCCTCACACACCACTGCCCCCTCACACACCACTGCCCCCTCACACACAGAAGACCACACACACCAGTGTGAGGGATAGGGAGAGCAAGGGAAGGACACACACTGAAAGGCAGCAGGCAGAAAGAAAGATTGAGAACACAAAAAAATGTGAAGAGGACATGCAGGACAGAGCAACAAGAGCAAGCACACACACGACCATCCCCAGAACCCCACAACCAATCACGCTATCCCAACACAAACCATAATCCACACTCTCAGCTCCCACCCAACACTCAGTTATAGAATCCCACAGTACACTGCCAGGTCCCCCACCCTCACAGACCCCCCAAAACACAGTATTGGAGAGGAAACTAAAGGTATGGTACACCAACACTGATGGAATAACAAATAAGTGGGAGGAGTGGCATGAAAGAGTCAAGAAGGCATCACCAGACATCATAGATCTCACAGAAACCAAGCTCACAGGTATGATAACAGATGCCATCTTTCCAGCAGAATATCAAATCCTGAGGAAAAACAGAGGGGGTGGAGGAGTGGCACTGCTGGTCAAACACCAATGGGATTTTGATGAGCTGGAGAGAGGAGACAGTAGAGAAGAAAGGGATTACATAATAGGAATGCTTCAGTCTGGAGGTCCCAAGGTGGTAATTGCAGTGATGTATAACCCACCACAGAACAGCAGGAGGCCAAGGCAAGAGTATGATAAGAGTAATAGAGTGATGGTTGACACTGGCTGAAGTGCCAAGAAGGGCTCATGCGAGCAGGGCAAAGTTACTGATCATGGGTGTCTTCAACCACAAGGAAATCAATTGGGAAAACTTGGAGCCACATGGGGGCCAAGAAACGTGGAGGACTAAGATGATGGAGTTGGTACTGGAAAACTTCATGTACCAACACGTAAAGGACACTACCAGAGAGAGAGGAGAGGATGAACCAGCGAGACTGGACCTAGTATTCACCTTAACTAGTGCAGATATTGAGGCCATCACATATGAAAGACCTCTTGGTGTCAGAGATCATGTGGTTTTAAGATTCGAATACACAGAGTTACAAGTGGAGGGGGAAGCAGGAAGAGCTGGACATACCAAGCCAAACTACAAGAAGGAGGACTACGCAGGAATGAAGAACTTCCTGAAAGCGGTTCAGTGGGACAGAGAACTGGCAGGGAAGTCAGTAAACGAGATGGAATACGTGACAACAAAATGCAAGGAAGCTGAGGAGAGGTTTGTACCCAAGGGTAACAGGAATAATGAAAAAGCCAGGATGAGCCCATGGTTCACCCAAAGGTGCAGGGAGGCAAAAACCAAGTGTGCTAGGGAATGGAAGAAGTATAGAAGGCAAAGGACCCAGGAGAATAAGGAGAGCAGTCATAAAATTAGAAATGAATATGCACAGGTAAGAAGGGACGCCCAATGGCAATATGAGAATGACATAGCAGTGGAAGCCAACTCTGACCTGAAGCTGTTGTACAGCCACATCAGGAGGAAAACAACAGTCAAGGACAAGGTAATCAGGCTAAGGAAAGGAGGAGGAGAGATCACAAGAAACGACCGAGAAGAATGTGAAGAACTCAACATAAGATTCAAGGAAGTGTTCACAGAGACATAAGGGACTCAAGAAAGATGAAGTATGCCACCAAGCGTTGGACACAATACATACAACCGAGGAAGAAGTGAAGAGGTTGCTGAGTGAGCTAGACACCTCAAAGGTGATGGGATCAGATAACATCTCTCCATGGGTCTTGAGAGAGGGTGCAGAGGTACTATATGTACCTCTAACAACGATATTCAACACATCTATCGAAACGGAGATTACCTGAGGTTTGGAAGACAGCAAATGTAGTCCCAATTTTTAAAAAAGGAGACAAACATGAAGCACTAAATTATAGACCAGTGTCACTGGCAAGTATAGTATGCAAAGTCATGGAGAAGATTATCAGGAGAAGAGTGGTGGAACACCTAGAAAGAAATGAGCTTAACAACAGCCAACACGGTTTCAGGGACAGGAAATCCTGTGTCACTAACCTATTGGAGTTCTATGACAGGGTGACAGCAGTAAGACAAGAGAGAGAGGGGTGGGTAGATTGCATTTTCTTGGACTGTAAGAAGGCGTTGGACACTGTTCCACACAAGAGATTAGTGCAAAAACTGGAGGACCAAGCAGGGATAACAGGGAAGGCACTACAATGGATCAGTGAGTCATGGTACGAGATGAGGTGACAGAGTGGGCGCCTGTGGCGAGTGGGGTTCCACAAGGGTCAGTCTTAGGACCAGTGCTGTTTCTGGTATTTGCGAACACGACGGAAGGAATAGACTCCGAAGTGTCCCTGTTTGAAGATGAGGTGAAGTTGATGAGAAGAATTCAATCAGACGAAGACCATGCAAATCTAAAAAGGGATCTGGACAGGCTGCAGACCTGGTCCAGCAATTGGCTCCTGGAGTTCAATCCCACCAAGTACAAAGTCATGAAGATTGGGGAAGGGCAAAGAAGACCACAGACGGAGTACAGTCTAGGGGGCCAGAGACTACAAACCTCACTCAAGGAAAAAGATCTTGGGGTGAGTATAACACCAGGCACATCTCCTGAAGCGCACATCAACCAAATAACTGCTGCAACATATGGGCGCCTAGCAAACCTCAGAACAGCATTCCGACATCTTAATATGGAATCGTTCAGGACCCTCTACACTGTGTACGTTAGGCCCATATTGGAGTATGCGGCACCAGTCTGGAACCCACACCTAGCCAAGCACGTAAAGAAACTAGAGAAAGTGCAAAGGTTTGCAACAAGACTAGTCCCAGAGCTAAGAGGTATGTACTACGAGGAGAGGTTAAGGGAAATCAACCTGACGACACTGGAGGACAGGAGAGATAGGGGGACATGATAATGACATATAAAATACTGAGAGGAATTGACAAGGTGGACGAAGACAGGATATTCCAGAGATGGGACACAGTAACAAGGGGACACAGTTGGAAGTTGAAGACACAGATGAATCACAGGAATGTTAGGAAGTATTTCTTCAGCCACAGAGTAGTCAGTAAGTGGAATAGTTTGGGAAGCGATGTAGTGAAGGCAGGATCCATACATAGCTTTAAGCAGAGGTATGATCAAGCTCATGGTGCATAGAGATTGACCCAGTAGCGGCCAGTGAAGAGGCGGGGCCAGGAGCTATGACACGACGCCTGCAACCACAACTAGGTGAGTACACCACTGCCCCCTCACACACCCCTGTCCCTCACACACCCCTGTCCCTCACACACCCCTGTCCCTCACACACTGCTGCCCCCTCACACACCCCTGTCCCTCACACACTGCTGCCCCCTCACACACCCCTGTCCCTCACACACCCCTGTCCCTCACACACCTCTGTCCCTCACCACCCCTGTCCCTCACACCCCTGTCCCTCACACACCCCTGTCCCCCACACTCTGCTGCCCTCACACACCCCTGCCTCCTCACACACCCGTCCCTCACACACTGCTGGCCCCTCACACACCCGTCCCTCACACACCCCCTGTCCCTCACACACCCCTTCCCCCTCACACACCCCTATCCCTCTCACACCCCTGTCCTTCACACACCTCTGTCCCTCACACACCCCTGCCCCCTCACACACCCCTGTCCCTCACACACCCCTGTCCCTAACACCCCCCCAGTCCCTCACACACCCCTGTCCTTCACACACGCCTGTCCCTCACACACCCCTGCCCCCTTACACACCACTGTCTCTCACACACCCCTGTCCCTCACACACCCCTGCCCCCTCACACACACCCTTGTCCCTCACACACAACCCCTTGTCCCTCACACACCCCATCCCCCTCACACACCCCTGTCCCTCACACATCCCTGTCCCTCACACACCTTTGTCCCTCACACACCCCTATCCCTCACACACCCCTGTCCCTCACACACTGCTGCCCCTCATACACCCCTGTCCCTCACACCTGTCCCTCACACTCCCCTGTCCCTCACACACTGCTGCCCCCTCACACACCCCTGCCCCCTCACACACCCATGTCCCCACACACTGCTGGCCCCTCACACCCCTGTCCCTCACACACCCCTGTCCCTCACCACCCCTGTCTCTCACACACCCCTGCCCCCTCACACATCCCTGTCACCCACACACCACGGCTCCCTCACTCACCCCCTGTCCCTCACACACCCCTGTCCCTCACACACTGCTGCCCCCTAACACACCCCCGCCCCCTCACACGCCCCCTGCCCCCTCACACACACCCCTGTTCTTCAAACACCCCTGTCTCTCACACACCCCCGCTTCCTCACACACCCCTGTCCCTCACACACCCCTGTCACTCACACACCCTGCCCCCTCACACACCCTTGTCCCTCACACACACCCCTTCCCCCTCACACACCCCTGTATTTCAAAACACCCCTGCCCCCTCACACACCCCTGTCCTCACACACCCCTGTCTCTCACACTCCCCTGTCCCTCACACAATGCTGCTCCCTCATACACCCCTGTCCCTCACACGCCCCTGTCCCTCACACACCCTGCTCCCTTACACACCTCTGTCCCTCACGCACCCCTGTCCCTCACACACCCCTGCCCCCTCACACACCCCTGCCCCCTCACATGCACCTGTCCCTCGCACACCCCTGTCCCTCACACACCCCTTGTACCTCACACACCCCTGTCCCTCACACACCCCTGTCCCTCACACACCCCTGCCCCCTCACACACTGCTGCCCCCTCCCATTCCCCTGCCCCTCACATACCCCTGTCCCTCACACACCCCTGCCCCCTCACACCCCTGTCCCTCACACACCCGTGTCCCTCACTCACCCCTGTCCCTCACACACCCCTGCCCCCTCACACAGCTGTCCCTCACACACTGCTGCCCCCTCACACCCCTGTCCCTCACACACCCTTGTCCCTCACACACCCCTTCCCCCTCACACACCCCTGTCCCTCACACACCCCTGTCACTCACACACCCCTGTCCCTCACACACCCCTGCCCCCTCACACAGCTGTCCCTCACACACTGCTGCCCCCTCACACACCCCTGTCCCTCACACACCCTTGTTCCTCACACACCCTGCCCCCTCACACACCCCTGTCCTCTCACTCTCCCCTGTCCCCACACACATCCCTGTCCCTCACACACCCTGTCCCTCACACACCCCTGCCCCCTCTCACACCCCTGTCCCTCACCCCTGTCCCCTCACACACCCATGTCCCTCACACATGCTGGCCCCCTCATACACCCCTGTCCCTCACACGCCCCTGTCCCTCACACACCCTGCTCCCTTACACACCTCTGTCCCTCACGCACCCTGTCCCTCACACACCCTGCCCCCTCACACACCCCTGCCCCCTCACATGCACCTGTCCCTCGCACACCCCTGTCCCTCACACACCCTTGTACCTCACACAAACCCCTGTCCCTCACACACCCCTGTCCCTCACACACCCCTGCCCCCTCACACACTGCTGCCCCCTCCCATTCCCCTGCCCCTCACATACCCCTGTCCCTCACACACCCCTGCCCCCTCACACCCCCTGTCCTCACACACCCGTGTCCCCCCACTCACCCTGTCCCTCACACACCCCTGCCCCCTCACACAGCTGTCCCTCACACACTGCTGCCCCCTCACACACCCCTGTCCCTCACACACCCTTGTCCCTCACACACCCCTTCCCCCTCACACACCCCTGGGCCCTCACACACCCCTGTCACTCACACACCCCTTTCCCCTCACACACCCCTGCCCCCTCACACAGCTGTCCCTCACACACTGCTGCCCCCTCACACACCCCTGTCCCTCACACACCCTTGTTCTCACACACCCTGCCCCCTCACACACCCCTGTCTCTCACCTCTCCCCTGTCCCTCACACATCCCTGTCCCTCACACACCCTGTCCCTCACACACCCCTGCCCCCTCTCACACCCCTGTCCCTCACCCCTGTCCCCTCACACACCCATGTCCCTCACACAACTGCTGCCCCCTCATACACCCCTGTCCCTCACACACCCCTGTCCTTCACACACCTCTGCCCTATTACACACCCCTGTCCCTCACACACCCCTGGCCCCCTCACACACCCCGTGTCCCTCACATACCCCTGCCCCCTCACACACCCCTGTCCCTCATACACCCTGCCCCTCACACACCCCTGCCTCCTCACACACCCTTGCCCCTCACACGCCCTTGTCCCTCACACACCCCTGCTCCTCACACACCCCTGCTCCCTCACACACCCCTGCTCTCTCACTCACCTCTGCTCCCTCACACACCCCTGTCCCTCACACACCTGTCCCTCACACACTCCTGCCCCTCACACACCCCTTCCCCCCTTACAAACCCCTTTCTCCATCATACATCCCTGCCCCCTTCGTACACCTTGCCTCCTCACACACCTGCCCCTCACATACATCGGCCATTCACTTACCTCTTGCTCTTCATACACATCTGCCACTCACACATCTGCCACTCACACATCTGCCACTCACACATCTGCCCCACACACGTCTGCCACACACACATCTGCCACTCGCACATCTGCCACTCACACATCTGCCACTCACACATCTGCCACACACACATCTGCCACTCGCACATCTGCCACTCACACATCTGCCACATAAACCTCTGCCACTCACACATCTGCCACTCACACATCTGCCACTCACACATCTGCCACACACATCTGCCACTCACACATCTGCCACACACACATCTGGGCCACTCACACATTGCCACACACATCTGCCACTCACACATCTGCCACAATCACATCTGCCACTCACACATCTGCCACTCACACATCTGCCAGTCACACATCTGCCAACACATCTGCCACTCACACATCTGCCACACAACATCTGCCACTCACACATCTGCCACTCACACCATCTGCCACACACATCTGCCACTCACACATCTGCCACACTCACATCTGCCACTCACACATCTGCCACTCACACATCTTGCCACTCACACATCTGCCACTCACACATCTGCCACTCACACATCTGCCACACACATCTGCCACTCACACATCTGTCACACACACATCTGCCACTCACACATCTGCCACTCACACATCTGCCACTCACACATCTGCCACACACACATCTGCCACTCACACATCTGCCACTCACGCATCTGCCACTCACACATCTGCCACTCACACATCTGCCACTCACACATCTGCCACACACACATCTGCCACTCACACATCTGCCACTCACATATCTGCCACTCACACATCTGCCACTCACACATCTGCCACTCACATCTGCCACTCACACATCTGCCACTCACATCTGCCACTCACACATCTGCCACTCACACATCTGCCACACATCTGCCACTCACACATCTGCTACTCACACATCTGCCACTCACACATTCAGGTATACACAAATACAGTTACATGGAAGATAAAAGAGTAATAAAGAAATATTACCGAAGTTAATAAAGGAGAAGAATTTCCACTTATAAAGGAATTTAATAAAATAAATATATTTCACAAATCTTTAATTTTTATATCCTTTGAGAACCCAGAGGTTTATGCTCTTGATCCACAGCACTAGAGCAATGTTGCATCTTCAAGAATCCAGACCTGTTACATTACATTTGCGCAAATATATGTATGTATGTACGTATATATATATATATATATATATATATATATATAATATATATATATATGCTCTGCATTGAAATTGGGTCTCTGTTTGAAAGAGCACTGTGTATATGTGTGTGATACTAGTGGTGTGCTAGTAGTGTAAATAGTGTCAGTGCGGCGGGACGCGGTGTGTTCTAGGAGACTGAGACGTCAGCACAACCTCTGAACCACTCCTGGGGTCCACACCCTATGGCCTCCGTCCCGTTGCCACAGTCACCCGACTTATTACCTAGGAGGGCAGGAGAGATAAACCTCTTAGACTGACTCGACTTGACTCAAGAAATCGTAATGACACGATTGCAAACAAACCATACCCCCCGCCGGGATTGAACCCACGGTCATAGAGTCTCAAAACTCCAGCCCGTCGCGTTAGCCACTAGACCAGCTAGCCACGATAAGATTCATCCAACTAGGTATATTTCTACACCATTGGAAGGTTAGCACAGGCACCACTGTGACCACAAATGCAAGTTTTTACAGACGAATCTCCAGCTAGCGTGGCCGTGACGAACTCTAGCTCAAGTCCCTTCACTGCCGTCAACATGACTCAAGAAATCGTAATGACACCATCCTCTCATTCTAACTTGCTAATTTAACACTGTGTGAGGCTACCAGAGTTTACCACACCTGTTATCCTTCCTCTGTTATAGTAAAAACACTGCCTCTGTTATAATAAAAACACCTGTTATCTTACATCTGTTATAATAACACCTGTTATCCTATCTGTTACAGAGTGTGATGTTGATATGACCCTTTCAAGAAATTTCGAGTGAGGTGGGGATGTGGAACTGCCAGGGAGTGACGCCAGGAGAGATGCCATTTGTAATTTATGAGCACTGTTAATAATAATAATTAGGCATCTTCTGAGCCAAATTGGGGGGTTTCGGCCTGAATTTGTAATAGGAACCTGTGTTAATGTCCCCCGCTGAAGAACTGAAACAGGAAATTTGCGGGACCTCAAGAATTATGTGTGGATGGCAGAACATAAGAGATATGATCATCACTCACAGGGAAGTGCACCATTAGTCTTTGCATTTAGTTCTCTAACTGGCCAGTATAGGGTCTAGGTGACAGGTCAATGTTGTGGTGTGATCCATCTACAATAATTAAAGGGTAAGTGGTAATACGAATTTATTTTGTGTACCCAGCAAGCCTAATCATATACAGTCCACAATTATAATTTATCACTGTAGCTGGTTTTAATATTGCAATTATTAATTTAATGTCAGGTCTAGCTTTTTGTGAGAGTGGTGAAGAAGTGGGCATCAAGGGAGTCACAGTTCAGCGACCTACTGTTACTTAAGTCCCAATTATCTCACCCAAATTATTTGCATGTAATAATTCAAGTAATACCCTGTAAGCCTCATGCAGGTAATTTACATAATAATTATTCACAAAACTACCTCTGTTATAACAACATCTGTTATCCTGTCTCTGTTATAACAATAGTACCTGTTATCCTACCTCTGTTATAACAGTAACACCTGTTATCCTGCCTCTTTTATAACAGTAACACCTGTTATCCTGCCTCTGTTATAACAGTAACACCTGTTATCCTGCCTCTGTTATAACTGTAACACCTGTTATCCTGCCTCTGTTCTAACAATAACACCTGTTATCCTGTCTCTGTTATAACAATAACACCTGTTATCCTGTCTCTGTTATAACTATAACACCTGTTATCCTACCTCTGTTATAGCTTTAACACCTGTTATCTTACATCTGTTATAGCTATAACACCTGTTATCTTACCACTGTTGTAACTATAACACCTGTTATCTTACCTCTGTTATAGCTATAACACCTGTTATCTTACCACTCTTAGAGAAATAATAACTGTTATTTTTCCTTTCCTATAGCAATAACACTTGTTATAATAATAGTTATCCTTTGTTATAACAATAAGTGTTATTCTACCTGTTATATCAGTGACACCTGATATCTTACTTCCGTTATAACGATAGGTGTTATCCTACCTGTTATTTCAATAACACCTGTTATCTTACGTTATAACGATAGGTGTTATCCTACCTGTTATTTCAATAACACCTGTTATCTTACGTTATAACGATAGGTGTTATCCTACCACACCTGTAACAATGCAACCTGTTAGCAGACTTCAGTTATAACACTAACACTTGTTATAACTGCTTTAGTTATGGTAATAACACTGCTATCTCAAATAAGTTATAATGTGTGTGTACCAACCCAGTACCAACAATACCACCAGTCCGATAACATTCTTCTTTGCAAATATACAGGGTCTAAAGCCAGCAATAAACAACAAAATACCTTTCATCCGTGGACTGCTTGCAGAGGCAAAGGCAATGTTCGCGGCTTTCACTGAGACCCACATAAAGGATCACTTGGACAACGAAATATGGATCCCAGGTTACAACCTATACAGATGTGACAGAGTGAACAGGCAAAAGGGGGGGGTTGGCCTGTACATTGCAGAGTCACTTGTTTGCACAGAACTGCTTAATGCCTCAAATGACGTAGTGGAAGTTTTAGCAGTAAAGGTCGAGAACCAAAACCTAGTCATTGTGGTAGTCTACAAGCCTCCGGGTGCAACATCCCAGCAATTCCAGGAACAGCTGTTAAAAATTGACCACTGTCTGGAAAATCTTCCAGCTCCTGCACCCAACATCTTGCTCCTGGGGGATTTCAACTTAAGGCACCTAAAATGGAGGAATATAGCAAAATAATATTGTTGCAGTAATAACACCAGGAGGCAGCTCTGATGAAAACTCACACTCACACGAGCTTTTAAATCTCTGCACAAAATTCAATTTAAACCAGCAAATAATAGAGCCTACTAGACTGGAGAATACACTAGACCTCATCTTCACTAACAATGATGATCTGATAAGAAATGTCACCATATCAAAAACAATATACTCAGATCACAACATAATTGAGGTTCAGACATGTATGCGTGGAGCCTCAGACCGACAAAATGAGACTAGTCACGAGGGAGCATTCACCAAATTCAACTTCAATAACAAAAACATAAAGTGGGACCAAGTAAACCAAGTCCTAACCGATATAAGCTGGGAAGATATACTAAGCAACACAGACCCAAACTTATGCCTAGAACAGATTAACTCGGTGGCACTCGATGTATGCACAAGGCTTATTCCTCTAAGAAAAAGGAGGAGTAGATGTAAAATAGAAAGAGACAGGCGCTCCCTTTACAGGCGACGGAAAAGAATAACAGAGCGGCTAAAAAGGTCAATATATCAGAAATGCGCAGGGAGACACTGGTCAGAGAAATAGCAAGCATCGAACTTAAGCTAAAAGAATCCTTTAGGATCAGGAATCGCGGGAAGAACTAAAAGCCATAAATGAAATCGAAAGAAACCCAAAGTATTTCTTCTCCTATGCCAAATCAAAATCGAGAACAAACGTCCAGTATTGGGCCCCTACTTAAACAAGATGGGTCCTACACAGATGACAGCAAGGAATGAGTGAGCTACTCAAGTCCCAATATGACTCAGTTTTTAGCAAGCCGCTAACCAGACTGAGAGTCGAAGATCAAAATGAATTTTTTATGAGAGAGCCACAAAATTTGATTAACACAAGCCTATCCGATGTTATCCTGACGCCAAATGACTTCGAACAGGCGATAAATGACATGCCCATGCACTCCTGCCCAGGGCCAGACTCATGGAACTCTGTGTTCATCAAGAACTGCAAGAAGCCCCTATCACGAGCCTTTTCCATCATATGGAGAGGGAGCATGGACACGGGGGTCGTCCCTCAGTTACTAAAAACAACAGACATAGCCCCACTCCACAAAGGGGCAGTAAAGCAACAGCAAAGAACTACAGACCAATAGCACTAACATCCCATATCATAAAAATCTTTGAAAGGGTCCTAAGAAGCAAGATCACCACCCATCTAGAAACCCATCAGTTACACAACCCAGGGCAACATGGGTTTAGAACAGGTCGCTCCTGTCTGTCTCAACTACTGGATCACTACGACAAGGTCCTAAATGCACTAGAAGACAAAAAGAATGCAGATGTAATATATACAGACTTTGCAAAAGCCTTCGACAAGTGTGACCATGGCGTAATAGCGCACAAAATGCGCGCTAAAGGAATAACAGGAAAAGTTGGTCGATGGATCTATAATTTCCTCACTAACAGAACACAGAGAGTAGTCGTCAACAGAGTAAAGTCCGAGGCAGCTACGGTGAAAAGCTCTGTTCCACAAGGCACAGTACTAGCTCCCATCTTGTTCCTCATCCTCATATCCGACATAGACAAGGATGTCAGCCACAGCACCGTGTCTTCCTTTGCAGATGACACCCGAATCTGCATGACAGTGTCTTTCCATTGCAGACACTGCAAGGCTCCAGGCGGACATCAAACCAAATCTTTCAGTGGGCTGCAGAAAACAATATGAAGTTCAACGATGAGAAATTTCAATTACTCAGATATGGTAAACATGAGGAAATTAAATCTTCATCAGAGTACAAAACAAATTCTGGCCACAAAATAGAGCGAAACACCAACGTCAAAGACCTGGGAGTGATTATGTCGGAGGATCACACCTTCAAGGACCATAACATTGTATCAATCGCATCTGCTAGAAAAATGACAGGATGGATAATGAGAACCTTCAAACTAGGGAGGCCAAGCCCATGATGACACTCTTCAGGTCACTTGTTCTATCTAGGCTGGAATATTGCTGCACTCTAACAGCACCTTTCAAGGCAGGTGAAATTGCCGACCTAGAAAATGTACAGAGAACTTTCACGCGCGCATAACGGAGATAAAAACACCTCAATTACTGGGAGCGCTTGAGGTTTCTAAACCTGTTTTCCCCTGGAACGCAGGGGGGAGAGATACATGATTATATACACCTGGAAAATCCTAGAGGGACTAGTACCGAATTTGGGCACACGAAAATCACTCACTACGAAAGCAAAAGACTTGGCAGACGATGCACCATCCCCCCAATGAAAGCAGGGTGTCACTAGCACGTTAAGACACCATACAATAAGTGTCAGGGGCCCGAGACTGTTCAACTGCCTCCCAGCACACATAAGGGGGATTACCAACAGACCCCTGGCAGTCTTCAAGCTGGCACTGGACAAGCACCTAAAGGCAGTTCCTGATCAGCCGGGCTGTGGCTCGTACGTTGGTTTGCGTGCAGCCAGCAGCAACAGCCTGGTTGATCAGGCGCTGATCCACCAGGAGGCCTGGTCCCAGACCGGGC